GAAACCAACAAAAACATAGATTCTAATCAGAAAGCTTAGGGTCGACTGCTCTCACCTCTTTTAACTTTTCTCTTTCACCCCTTCAATAATATATTTTTAAAATTATTTAGAACCTTCAGAAAATTTTGCACCTTTTCAAAAAATAATTTTTTCGTAGTTTTCTCTAAACTATTTGAAGTAGTCGAAATTTCTAAAATCGTGATTGTACGCCACTAATTAATAATTCCATAAATTCTAATCGTGTTTATATTATCCCAATTTAAAATCCAACTTAATTAAAACCCGAATTTGAACGTAATTCAAACCCTAATAGAGGGTTTCATTATCGTTTAAAAAGGCATTACAAAAGACATATATTTCCCAAATCGATTTAGGCTGAAATTAGGGATAGGGTTCATCATTACTCGTTCGAATTGCGAGATATAGATAGTCAACGAGATAAAGTAAGTAGCTTATTGTATCTCGTTTTCATCGATTTTTGTTGGGTTTAGCTAATCGATTGCTCAGTTTCTATTTTTGTTTCAGTCTCGGGAAAATAAAGAATGTGAAATGTGGCTTGAAGAGAGTGATCCAGTTGATGTACTACAAAAGACGAGGAAGAAGAATCAAACTACATGTATGATGGTGACGAGGAAGATACCAAAGAAGAAGAGGTGACGAGGTACACAGGTTGGTGATGAGGAAGAAACTGATGAGAGAGAAAATGAAAGTACAAGAGAGAAAATCGATTACTTTTAACATCTAAGTACAAATCAAACTTTCTTTTAATTAAACGAAATCAATGGTTTAACCTGATTTTGGAAATTTTGAAAAATTAAATTAGTTTAGGGGGGAATTCTAAAGAGTTGTATTTTCAAAGGGGAAAATGAAGAGTTCCAAAGTCTAGAAGGATCGAGTCGGAATAGAAAAAAGTTGAGGGGATCCAGAGCAGCCAAACCAAAAAACTTAAAAACGTAAAATTGAATTTTTGTTTTGTAGAGCCGTGTTTTTCTCCTCCCTACCTCTCTTCGAGGATCATTAGGTAAATGAAATTATTGTAGTACTTGTTTGCTGATTGTTTAATAAAGTATAAGAATTATGAACAAAAAATTGATGCATATCTAGAAACATTACGTGTTTGTGGTGTTCTCCCACATGTTTTGTTTGACTCAAGAGTGACACATTGTTTTGTAACTTCTGAGGTCGTAGCAAAATTGAGGGGATCTTTACAATAGTAAAGATTTGTGTGCTTATCCTAACACCGGGTGATTAAATCGTATATGCCACAAGTTGCTATATAGAAATCCTGTTTATAATAGAGAACCAAACACTCTTAATTAGCAAACATTTTAGGCAC